TGTGACCTACTTCCATCATACTCACCACCTCCCGAGGCTCTGACAATGTGGGACCGACTCCCTGGTATACACACTGGCTCCATAGACTCCGGCCTTTGAGCTAATGCATGGATGATACTGCATGCCATGGAGGATTACTGGAGAACTGATACTTGCTAATTATCAAGTGGACTATAACTTTGAACTCTTGGAGGATAACTCACCTTAACCTTAAGTATACCTTTCAGCTATTCTCTGCCATCTCATTTATTGATGAACTATTTACTGCTTGCTTAAAACTTCTATGCTTCAAGCTACTAATTATATGGAGGACAACTCCCATCAAGCTTAATCACGAGGAACTGTTTCTTGCTTTGCAAATACTTTGCTACCTGCTAAATATCATTATTGAAGATTATTCCTAGCAACCTAATGAATCTTATTTAAAATATCTCTGAGGAAATACTTTTAGATGAACTTTGTATTGTTTAATGACTTTCACTTATTCTTATTGGATTATTGCCTAAATGCAATTCGTTAAGTTTAACAATTATTAAAACTTAATTTGATTCTCAAAGTGCCAGCAATCCTCTCCTTTCTTAACGCTAGAGTATTGATACTTTAAAGATTCTCTGCTTCTTCACTATTGTAATTAAGGAGTTCTATAAGCTGCAGTTGAGTTCCAATTCAAATAACCCAAGTAGCATAACATAGATTAATCCTCGGATCAAGAATCTATCACGCTACAGTTGAAAAATTATATCATTCAAAAGCTTTGTATAGTTAGCTGAGAAGAGTTCTTTCTCTTTATTGGTTATTCTGATACCTAAGAATATTAAGTAATCTTCTCTCCAATCATACTGATAGCTTGCTTTTAATCTATCTTCCATTGCTAGTAGTGTTAAAACACATAGCTTGCGTTTTTACGACATTAAGTTTGTAGTATGATTGTTTACTGTATATTTGCAGTTCTTTATGCAAAGAAGGTAGTGTTATAAATGGTTGCGTTATTGAGAAATACATCATCGGCAAATAAACTAAGTTTATATTCCTTGTTGCCTACTAACACACCATGGATGCTACCGTTTCTCCATATTGATATTGTGAGAGGTTCCAAAGCTAGCACATATAGAAATGGAGATAATGGGCATCCCTGATGGGTTCCATTAGTGATAGAAAAAACTTGCAACTGAAAACCTGCATACAATACTGTTGTTGAAGGTGCACTGTATAGAGCTTTAACTGCAGGAAGAAAAAAAGGTGGAAATCCATAGGCCGATAACGTTTCCTGAAGGAATGACCTGTTCAGACGGTCAAATGCCTTTTCGGCATCAAGGGATATCATAATACTCTCCTGTTTGGTGCGTTTTAAAATTCCATATAAATCTAGCACTTTCCGAGTGTTATCTGGTCCCTGTCTGCCCGTCACAAATCCCATTTGGTACATGTGTATTAATGTCGGTATGATATTACTGAGTCGTTCTGCAAAAATCTTAGCATAAAGTTTAGCATCAACATTTTAAAGAGATATTGGTCTAAAATTTTGACACATCATTGACGATTTCCCCGGTTTAGGGATATTAATTACATGGGCAGACAGGAACTCAGTCGGGAAAGATCCCAATCTAGTGGCGTTGTTAAAAAAGCTAGTAAGAGCTAAAATTAATTCATGTTTGAATGTAGCATAATATATACTAGTATAACCATCTGGACCTGGTGTTTTCCCTTTTGGCATATTTTCAATTAGGCGCAACACCTTATCTGCAGTGATAGGTGCACATAGTTTTTCTAAATGTTTTGGTGTTATTTGAGGAAGGGCGATGTTTGCCAGGTATGAACGTATAGATATATGCGTGGGTTGAGGTTGAATATGCTGATCTTTCAAATTATATAAAGTCTATAGTATTGTGCAAATTAATTACATATCTGTACTGGTTGCATAACTTTATGGCCTCCATGCGTCTTTATAAATGGAATTCTTGCTTGTGCTTGTTTGTTCCTCAGTCTTTGTGCCAGAACTTTAGTAGCCTTATTTCCCATAGAGTAAGATGTCGCCTTTAATTTCTTTATTGCTAAATTAGCTTTCTTGGAATGGATTGCATTAATCTCTTGATGCACTTCCAGAAGTTGTTGTTGAAGAGCTTGGGTGGAGTTTGCTTGGTTTTCTCTATGAAGATCCTGTAGTTTTTTAAGGAGAGTAATCAGTGCTGTATGATTTTTTTTCTTGAGGTAAGATGCTCTACTCAGTAATATCCCACGAATAACGGATTTATGATCCAACCATAGTGCAGCAGGGTTCGTATCTTCATTATCATTTATACTAAAATAGTGCTGTAATTCATTTCAAATCTTATCCGTAAATGTGGTATCGTTGAACAGCTGTTCATTCAATCTCCATGGACTTCTGTTTTTATATTGATATGAATCTGTCAGGGTAAGTAGCACTGGGTTATGATCTGATTCTGTCGAAATGCCTATCTCACAGGAGCTTACTTGCTGTATATGTGTGTTGAGCATGAAATATCCATCTATTCGGGAATATGTATTGTAAACTTGTGAGTGATGTGTATATTCCCTAACGTCTGGATGTAAATTTCTCCATATATCATATAACCCATATGCAGCTAATGTTTTATTAAGTGCGTTACATTGCTTTTGTAAAGCTTTTTTCCTTTTACGTGTATGAGAAGTTGTATGAGAAGCTGCAATAGGATCTAATATATGGTTAAAATCTCCACATATGATCAGAATCCCTGTTGGCACCTTCTCTAAAAAATAAATTGATTACCAACTGGACTCATGGAAGCATCTGTTTTTATCTTGGGTAGGAAGGATTGCAGCGCTCAAAATGTCAATCCTAGCAAAGATTTTATATCTTTTTAGATCATTGCATATTAAACTTCCGCAAAAGTACATATCGTCTCTCCAAGCATCTATTGTATGTTTCAACTGGGGTGGCAAACACCCTAGAGTACCCTAGGCTCTGCTTCTGAGAAATGTGAAGAACGGAGGAATGGGAATACCAAATATAAGAGCATATTATCACTCAGCCATCTTAATGAATGTTATCAGCGCCCATTCGACGGATTATTCCCCCCAATGGGTAGCAATAGAAAGTAACTATTGTGGAACACAAGATCTTTCCACAACACTCTGGAAACCTTATCAATTGAGGTAAAGAAGGTAAAATATGTTATCTTCCACTAAACATCTTCTTAGAATCTGGGACACTTGCAGGGACAAAAAATGTTCAGCATACCCATGGGCCCTCACGACCCCAATTAAAATTTTATTCTATTGTCATGATACGTTTCCCTATCAGAAATGGGAAAAAGCAGGTATCACACATTTATTTCATTTATGCAACAAAGAGGGCCTTAAGTCTTTTCCAGCACTGCAAGAAGAATTTTCATTGCCCTCATATTTTATATTTGCTTATCTTCAAATCAAAGTGATTGTAACTATAAACAAGATTTCAACAGTAGAATCAACACTACACGCTTCTATAACGGAATTTGAAGAACAATGTTTATCATTACGTCCTCCGAAAAAGACACTGTCTATCTGCTATCAAAAACTTGCTAATCCCGCTGTGCAGAGCAATTGGAAATTCATGCAAGACTGGCAAGAAGACTTACAAGTTAATATTCCTTTGACTGAATGGAAACACATTTTTACCGCTCACATAGGGCTAACCACCAGTACCGCCCATCTTGAAGCAGCACGGAAAATTCCTTACAGGTGGTATTTGGTACCAACACGTCTAAACTCTATGTTTCCTGCAATGCCAGACCAGTGTTGGCGATGTCATAAATGTAAAGGTACTATGTTACATGTTTGGTGGTCATGCAAAGCTGTAAACTCTCTATTGAACGACATAACAAAGATGATAAAACAAGTTACAAATATTGATTTGTCCCACGACCCTAAAATCATACTGCTATGATTACTTCCAAGTAATATACCTAAGTCAATCAAGAAAATGATTTTCCTCTTATTGAGTACAGTGTCTATACTAATTGCTAGACAATGGAAAACTAAGGTTTTACCTTCTCGAGGAGAAATTGAAGAAGTAATGACCTCAACAGTGGAACATGAATTGCTAATGTGGAATCAGATGAAAATAGGGAAAATGAGACCCTACATAGATCAAATGTGGCAGACATATTTACTAACACAACACTAATTAAATCTCTGTACATCTACAGATAAATATAGAGGCCTCTATATGGAATACATTTTCTGATTATAATCAAACCCATAGAGGGTCTCATCTAATCAGTTAAGCAATAAAAATGATATCATAAATTATTCCAAGCTATTGTAAGCTAGAATGGGGGACAAGTTAGCAAACTACTACTTAGGTACTATTCTCGTGAGTACGTGAGTAAGTTGCTTCTTTCCCTTTACCTAGTTAATAGGTTATTGTTTCCCTTCCCTTTTCTCTCCTTCCCCTCTTATAGAAACATAGAAACATAGAATGTGACGGCAGATAAGAACCATTCGGCCTATCTAGTCTGCCCAATTTTCTAAATACTTTCATTAGTCCCTGGCCTTATCTTATAGTTAGGATAGCCTTATGCCTATCCCACGCATGCTTAAACTCCTTTACTGTGTTAACCTCTACCACTTCAGCTGGAAGGCTATTCCATGCATCCACTACACTCTCAGTAAAGTAATACTTCCTGATATTATTTTTAAACCTTTGTCCCTCTAATTTAAGACTATGTCCTCTTGTTGTGGTAGTTTTTCTTCTTTTAAATATAGTCTCCTCCTTTACTGTGTTGATTCCCTTTATATATTTAAATGTTTCTATCATATCCCCCCTGTCTCGTCTTTCCTCCAAGCTATACATGTTAAGATCCTTTAACCTTTCCTGGTAAGTTTTATCCCGCAATCCATGAACCAGTTTAGTAGCCCTTCTCTGAACCCTCTCTAAGGTATAAATATCCTTCTGAAGATACGGTCTCCAGTACTGTGTACAATACTCCAAGTGATGTATCACCAGTGTTCTGTACAATGGCATGAGCACTTCCCTCTTTCTACTGCTAATACCTCTCCCTATACAACCAAGCATTCTGCTAGCATTTCCTGCTGCTCTATTACATTGTCTGCCTACCTTTAAGTCATCAGAAATAATCACCCCTAAATCCCTTTCCTCATATGTTGAGGTTAGGACTCTATCAAATATTCTGTACTCTGCCCTTGGGTTTTTACGTCCAAGATGCATTATCTTGCACTTATCCACATTAAATGTCAGTTGCCACAATTCTGACCATTTTTCTAGTTTACCTAAATCATTTGCCATTTGGCTTATCCCTCCTGGAACATCAACCCTGTTTCATATCTTAGTATCATCAGCAAAAAGACATACCTTACCATCAAGACCTTCTGCAATATCACTAATAAAAATATTAAAGAGAATGGGTCCAAGTACAGATCCCTGAGGTACCCCACTGGTGACAAGTCCAAGCTTCGAATATATTCCATTAACTACAACCCTCTGTTGCCTGTCACTCAGCCACTGCCTTACCCATTCAACAATATTGGAATCCAAACTTAAAGATTGCAGTTTATTGATAAGCCTTCTATGTGCAACAGTGTCAAAAGCCTTACTGAAATCTAGGTAAGCAATGTCTACTGCACCACCTTGATCTATAATTGTAGGTACCCAATCAAAAAAATCAATAAGATTAGTTTGGCATGATCTCCCTGAAGAAAACCCATGTTGTCTCTGATCTTGAAATCCATGTGTTTTTAGATGTTCAGCAATCCTATCCTTTAACATGGTTTCCATCACTTTCCCCACTACTGAAGTAAGGCTTACTGGCCTATAGTTGCCCGACTCCTCCCTATTACCTTTCTTGTAAATGGGCACAACATTCGCTAACGTCCAATCTTCTGGGACTACTCCTGTTAACAATGATTGGTTAAATAAATCTGTTAATAGTACACCACTAAGCTCTTTTAATAGCGTTGGGTGTATTCCATCAGGTCCCATTGACTTATTTGTCTTTACTTTTGACAGTTGAAATAGAACCTCTTCCTCTGTAAACTCACATGTACTAAATGACTCATTTATCCTTTTTCTTAACTGAGGTCCCTTTCCTTCATTTTCATCTGTAAATACCGAACAAAAATATTAATTGAGGCAGTCAGCTAGACCTTAATCCTCTTCTACATAACTTCCTTCTTTTGTTTTTAATCTAACTAATCCATGTTTTACTTTTCTTTTCTCATTTATGTATCTAAAAAATGTTTTATCCCCCTTTTTTACTGACTGTGCTATTTTCTCTTCTGTGTGTGATTTGGAAGCTCTTATAACTTGCTTAGCCTCTTTCTGCCTAATCTTATAAATCATTTTGTCTTCCTCACTCTGGGTTTTTTTTATAATTCCTAAATGCTAACTTTTTGTTTTTAACTATTTTGGCCACATCTGTGGAGTACCACAGTGGTTTCTTGATTTTTTTGCTTTTACTGACAAGCCTAATGCAATTTTCTGTTGCCTTCAATAGTGCAACTTTTAAATAATCCCATTTCTCTTGGACTCCATTTAAATTGCTCCAGTCTGATAATGACTCCTCTACCCATATTCTAATTTTAGAAAAGTCCTTTGTTTTTGTGGTGTGACTCAGTCACTGTTCTTATATTAAACCACACTGACTGATGATCACTGGATCCTAAACTTTCACCAACAGTAATATCTGATACCAAATCTCCATTTGTTAACACTAAATCTAGTATGGCCTCTTTACGAGTTGTTCTTCAACAACTTGTTTTAGAGACAATCCCAGTAGGGAGTTTAGAATATGTGTGCTCCTGGCACAAGTAGCTAATTTTGTTTTCCAATTTACATCAGGAAGATTAAAGTCACCCATGATGATAACTTCCCCCTTCATTGTCATTTTAGCTATTTCCTCAACTAGTAGATTATCTAACTCTTCAATTTGTCCTGGGGGCCTATAAATCACACCTACACGAGTTACTTTGTGATTACCAAATTCTAACGTAACCCAAACGGACTCTATGTTTGTAAAAATATAATCTCCTGCCGCAAGATAGAGAACTGTCTACAGATTAGACAACAACCAAACCTCCAAAAAGTGGAACGTGAAACAAATGCATAGCAACTATTACACGGAACTAAGTCTGCCATTCCAATGAGGAGAATAATTTAAATCAAACAAATCTTAACTTTTTATTTATCCTATTGAATACCTCAGATTACCTCCAGTTTATCTCCAGAATATCTCCAACTACACACTTAGAAGCAACACTCTCCAGAATATCTCCAACTACACACTTAGAAGCAACACTCTCCAGAATATCTCCAACTACACACTTAGAAGCAACCAAGCTATATTAACCAAGCTAATGACAACAAGCCTTATATAACTCCTAAAATCACAACCCACTAGGAATGTTTAACACCTGGGTAGGCCTCTGCTTATTTGCAAATAATAGCTAATTTAAACAGCAATGAATAGCAAGTAATCTAATCAAATGCCTTATCATTACCAACAGGAATTCAAACCTTGTGCAATCAGTAACCTTTTCCTACAGATGAATCTTACCTGTAACAGTAGAAAAGAAAGCTCTTAGCACAACTCTTAGACAGTTGAAGCTTCTGTAAAACTCTCCAGAATATCTCCAACTTCTCCCCTCCTTTTTTTTTTTTTCCATCATTAATGAGGTTTAGATAAAGTACAAGATCATTATCTTGAATAATGGTATAGCTTTTAGTAGTTCAAGATAATTAGAATCCATCGGTAACCAAACTAGGAAATATGTCTCCCTCGTTACTAGGCATGGTTGGCACAGTGATACCCTTTGGAGTGACAACTGCTTTTATCACTGGTTAAAGCAAAGGAGGCAATATAAGGGTCAGTTAAAGAAGTATTTTTGAATGTGTGTATCAATTACCATTGTAATTTACTTTATATATTTTAAGACACACAAGCTATATAAGATAGGTTAAGTTTTGGGAATTTTGACTATATAAAGTTATGAACTATATGTTACAATATTGAAGATATCTATATAGATAAATTATCTCGTTTGGATGTCCACTTCCTCTTTTTTCTTTCTGTATCCTTTATTATTTGGAAAAATAAAACAAAGGTGTTGCCTTAGCCTCTTAATTACCCAGATCTCAATCCGATTGAGCATCTGTGGGATGTACTGTACAAATCCGATCCAACACACAGATACACACACAGATACTCATACTAACACATACAAACAGATACACATACATACACATGCAGATACACATACAGTTGCAAGAAAAAGTATATGAACCCTTTGGAATGATATGGATTTCTGCTCAAATTGGTCATAAAATGTCCGATCATCATCTAAGTCACAACAATAGACAATTACAGTCTGCTTAAACTAATAACACACAAAGAATGACATGTTGCCATGTTTTTATTGAACACACCATGTAAACATTCACAGTGCAGGTGAAAAAAATATGTGAACCCCTAGACTAATGACATCTCCAAGAGCTAATTGGAGTGAGATGTCAGCCAACTGGAGTCCAATCAATGAGATGAGATTGGAGGTGTTGGTTACAGCTGCCCTGCCCTATAAAAAAACACACACCAGTTCTGGGTTTGCTTTTCACAAGAAGCATTGCCTGATGTGAATGATGCCTCACACAAAAGAGCTCTCAGAAGACCTACGATTAACAATTGTTGACTTGCATAAAGCTGGAAAGGGTTATAAAAGTATCTCCAAAGCTTTGCTGTTCATCAGTCCACGGTAAGACAAATTGTCTATAAATGGAGAAAGTTCAGCACTGCTGCTACTCTCCCAAGAGTGGCCGTCCTGTAAAGATGATAGCAAGAGCACAGCGCAGACTGCTCAATGAGGTGAAGAAGAAGTGTGTCAGCTAAAGACTTACAAAAGTCACTGGCAAATGCTAACATCTACAATACGTAAAACACTAAACAAGAATGGATTTCATGGGAGGATACCACCGAGGAAGCCACTGCTGTCCAAACAAAACATTGCTGCACGTTTACAGTTTGCACAAGAGCACCTGGATGTTCCACAGCAGTACTGGCAAAATATTCTGTGGACAGATGAAACCAAAGTTGAGTTGTTTGGAGGAAACACGCAACACTATGTGTGGCGAAAAAAGCACACCAACATCAAAACCTCATCCCAACTGTGAAGTATGGTGGTGGAGGCATCATGGTTTGGGGCTGCTTTGCTACATCAGGGCCTGGACGGATTGCTATCATCGAAGGAAAAATGAATTCCCAAGTTTATCAAGATATTTTGCAGGAGAACTTAAGGCCATCTGTCTACCAGTTGAAGCTCAACAGAAGATGCGTGTTGCAACAGGACAATTACCCAAAGCATAGAAGTAAATCAACAACAGAATGGCTTAAACAGAAGAAAATATGCCTTTTGAAGTGGCCCAGTCAGAGTCCTGACCTCAACCTGATTGCGATGCTGTGGCATGACCTCAAGAAAGCGATTCACACCAGACATCCCAAGAATATTGCTGAACTGAAACCGTTCTGTAAAGAGGAATGGTCAAGAATTGCTCCTGATCGTTGTGCACGTCTGATCTGCAACTACAGGAAACGTTTGGTTGAAGTTATTGCTGACAAAGGAGGTTCAACCAGTTATTAAATCCAAGGGTTCACATACTTTTTCCACCTGCACTGTGAATGTTTACATGGTGGGTTCAATAAAAACATGGCAACATTTCATTCTTTGTGTGTTATGAGTTTAAGCAGACTGTGATTGTCTATTGTTGTGACTTAGATGATGATCAGATCACATTTTATGACCAATTTGTGAGGAAATCCATATCATTCCAAAGGGTTCACATACTTTTTCTTGCAACTGTATACACACAGATTCACAGAGTATCACGATTTGGTAAAGCCCAACATGCAGTATGTAATACCACAGAAAATAAAGAACGTATTACCAAACCTGCTTAGCGTTGGACAGAAAAAAACACTCAGAAAATAGCCAAAATAACAAAGGATGCCAGAAATGAGGAGAGCGATACCGGAATATCTGGGTCAGGATACCAGAATGTAGGTCAAGATACAAGCAGAGGGTGGAAACCAGAGAACAGCATAGTCAATAGCCAAGCTGAGTCAAATATACTATGAGAACACTAATAGACAATAAGTAGCACTATAGGGAACAGTAAGAACCCCAATAGGGTAAAGTACAAAGCAAAAGGTGCCCTTTTTATATGAGAGCCTCTTTAGGTTTAATGCCACGGCCCCAAAACATTCTAGGCCAGTGAAAATGACGCTCATGATTCACGTCATCAACGCAATGATGTCAGTGCACATGCACACATCATGAGAGGGGGCATGATTCCAGCAGCCAGCATGGGACATGCAGATCCGCCTAAGAGAAGAGTCGATATCTGGTGTCGCACCACGTGTG